CCAAGATTTATGATGAAATATTATTTATTTGCAAAATTTTATAAGAAAAACACTTTTTTTTTTTCAAAATTTTTGGACATTTTCATTTACATAACAAAAAAAATAAAAACCCCAGCGGTGAATAAATACCACCAAAATAAAGTTTTTATCTGTCTCAAAAAAATGGTAAAAAATTCATATGGGTATAGTGTTGCATGACCGCGCAATTGTCATTCAAAGTGTGATAGCGCTGAAAATTGCCCCGGTCAGGAAGGGGGTAAAAGTGTCCGGACTGGAAGTGGCTAAACTGTAGATAATGAAAGTGTTCAGTTGTGGGTTTTTTTTTTTTTTTTTTTTTTTTTCATGTGTTGATATCCTGCAGATATCACAGGGATAATTTCCATACATTCTCTCAGCTTTACAGCCCTCTGTCCCAAGTGGAAGAATTGTGCTGAACTCAGAATGCTGTGCATTGTGCAGTATTGTGTATCAGATGACTAAGACTGGTCCTGTTTGAAATTTAAAAGTACCAAATGTTTCTTGACTGAAATGTGTGGCTTGAGACTAGTCTAGTCCAGGGGTTGGCAACCTGTTGATTGTGGGCAGGTGACAGATGGAGATTCTTTCTTGCTGACCCCAGGAACCTGAACGGGAGAGGCGGTGTCATTTCCTGGAACTGATCCTGCAGCAGATGAAACCGGCTTCTCCTCCTCTCCCTCCAACTAGCATTCAGTTGCTGCAGGATTGGTTCTAATGAATGCCACCCCTCCTGTCCAAGTTCCCCTTCTTTCTGCTGCTCGGTCCCCCTTGTGCTCCCCTGGTCCAGCAGCAGCGCTGCCAGCTCTTCTCTCCAGCTGGCTGCTGCGGGTAATGTTTCAGGATGGAGAGCAGCGGAAGGGTCCGTTAAATGCCATTTTCTGAATGAACTCGATCGATACCAGTCACTCAAACTGGAGAGTGCAAAATCTATCTTCCAGGTTTTTGTCAAAAGCTTAATTGAACAAGCTGAAGTTAGGAGCTGATTGGCTACCATGCATAGCTGCACCAGATCCTGCTTGCACCAGTGTTAGTAAAGCCCCAACAGGGTTGCTAAAGAAACTTTTGTAAAAAATAATAAATTAAAAAAAATATTTAAAACTGATGTCATTACTACCCTACTGACACCATCCACTGTTCTACGGACACCGTTCACTGCTCCGCTGGACACCGCCCTCTCACCTACTGACACCATCCATTGCCCTACTGACACTGTCCACTGCTCTACTGACTCACACTTTACTTTTAAGGTAGGCTAAATTGTTATTTATTAAATTATATTTTTCTTAATATTTGGTTAGGCCTTGTTAATTAATTTCTAAAAAAAAAAAGCGCCAGTTACCGCCTATTCTTGGCCTTTTGTGCTTTATTTGCTTTATACATGAAACTCACAATCAGTTATGCTATCATATCAAATATAATTTTACTTGTGCGTTTTATTCTATAATTTTTATGGGTTACTCAGTCAGTAGTCTGTTACCTGTTCAAAAAAATTCTAAAGAAAGAAAGCAGAGAAAGCAAAGGGAAGGAAATAATGTTCTTGATTTGCAAGTGCTCTCTGATATATGAGAATTTCCTTTTGTAAGTGTGGTACAATTAACCTTAAAATGAGAGGGAACTGCTTGCTCTTGTGAATTTCGATACTGGGGAAGTGTTTCCTTTGGCGGCTTTCCATGGTGTGCTCATAACTTACAAATGAAGCGGCCTCTTTTCTTTGTGTGATCGCAGCACATTCAGCATTATGAGCAAAAGGATCTTTGTTTTCTCATTTCTGATATTCAAATGACAAGGCAAATTTTGTTGGCAGAGTAATGGCAAATGTTTAAATTGTGAAACATAAGTGTGTTCATATTTGTTTAAACATTGAATGGTTTTATAAGAAACCTTTGTTTGCCTTTTTATATGTAAAATGAATTTGCAAAATCTTCAAAAATTTATATTGGTTAATAAAACTGAGTAGTCATTTTAATATTTATCTGCTGCAAACAGGGATGTGCAGTTCCTATCACCCAACACCAGGACATGTGCCTTCCGCCGCCTGTCGCATCTTGACGACACCCAATCAACCAGCAGGCGCTTCCTCCGGCTGATCATAGAGGCGGACTGAGACCAGTACTGCTCTGTCCACCTCTATGATATAGGAAACAGGAAGCGATGAGCATAATTCACTTCCTGTTTCCCTGGATGTAACACCACCTTTTTTTTTTCAAATGAAAAGCATTTGATCACACTGATCTTGGTGTGATCAAATGCTTTTAAGGGCAGAGGAGGGATCTGAGGTCTTTTTGACCCCAGATCTCTACATAAGAGTACCCTTCACTGCCTATTGCTTTCACAAGGGATGTTTACATTCCTTGTGGCAGCAATAAAAGTGCAACAGTGTAAAAATACAAATAATTAAAGCATAATTAAATAGTTTAAGCATCTCCGTCACCAGGAATGCTTCGGTCCCACATGCATGCAGACAGCGATCGTCCCACACATGTGAAAGTATCATCGCTAATGACAGATCATGGGAAGTAATTCTAGAACTAGACCTCCTGTGTATATCTAAAGTGGTAATCTGTAAAGGCTTTTAAAGCATCGCCTATGGGTAGTAAAATTTATGTTGTTTGTTGCTGTTGCTTGGGGGTGCACAATTTTAAAGTGTGACATGTTTATTTACTTGGCATAACATCATCTTTTATACCTTACAAAAAAATTGGGTTTATGTATTGTTTGCATTAAAATAAAGTATTTTTTTTCCCAAAAAAATTGCGCTTGAAAAACTGCTGCGAAAATGCTGTGAGACATAAAAAATTGCAACACCCACCAATTTATTCTCTAGGGTCTATGCTTTAAAAATTATGTTTTTTTATCAGGACAAATAGATTGGGAACCCAATTTACTCTGCTGGAATAGTAGTTTCTAAAAAAAATTTCGACACCCCTGTACAAAATAATATAAAGAAATTCCCTTGACGGATAATTTCACTTTAAAAAAAAAAAAAAAAAAAAAAAAAAAATGCAGGTTGAAAAACGTGCATGTATTTTTTCAAAGGAGCCTGTAAAGCATTGCAATGTCAGGCACCTGCAGACTCCTGGGATAGTTGCCTTCCCGTACAAGCAGGCTGTTACCTGAGAGCAGGATGATCAATGAACTACAAGAGCTCTCACCAGTGCCCTCTTAGTTCATTGAGAACTGCAAGCTGTCAGCCGCAATGGCTGACTGTAGTTATTATTATTATACAGTATTTATAAAGCGCCAATAGTTCGCTCAGCGCTGTACATTACAATGGGGGACAGAACAATAACAATACAATACAATGCAAAACATAAGGGGATCGTGGGCCCTGCTCTTTCGAGCTTACAATCTAGGAGATTTAAGTTCATTCATTCACAGAACTCATTAAATAAATCACAAGGCCACACGGGTTTCAAATTGTGACAGCAGGTGCTGGGAGAAGGTCCCCTGCCAACTGTCTCAGGGAAAGCGGGGAGGAAAGGGTGGATGCTGAACATGTCACATCCTAAATACGGGTGTAACGTGTGACGTTCAGAAAGTTCCGAATTTGGGCTTGGTTCACACCTATGCTGTTTGCTTTTGATCTGTTTTATAATGCTTTTTACATTGTTCTTTGCGTTTTTTACTCACACGTTTTTTGCCGCTTTTTTTTACCACATTTTTTTTGTTAAAGTGGTAATGTTTTTTTTTACTGGGCAGAAGTAAAAAATGCAAAACGCAGTAAAAATGCATTTCAGCAGCTTCTCCATTGAACTCAATTGTAGCAAAAATGCTGCTTTTTGCGTTTAAAAAAAGTCCCCTGACCCTTTCCAAAAACGTAGCAGCTCAAAAAGCATAGATGTGAACATGTCCCTTAGGAAACAATGTTAAATGGACTGTAGTGTGTTTCTGCAAAAAGCACTAAAAGCATTGGCATGAAGCAGGGGTAAGCCTTTAAAAACATATATGCTTTTTTGGTTGGATCACATCATACCGGCAGTTTTTCTGGCCTAGTGGGGACCATTTAATGTTGACCTGCTTTAACCACTAGCCTACAGGGCACTTATACCCCCTTCTTGCCCAGGCCAATTTCCAGCTTTCAGCGCTGTCACACTTTGAATGACAATTGCGTGGTCATGCAACACTGTACCCATATTATTATTATTCAGTATTTAAAAAGCGCCAATAGTTCGCTCAGCGCTGTACATTACAAAGGGGGACAGAACATGTGACAAAACGATAACAATAGCGCGCTCCCGGAGCTGTGCATGTGCGGCGAGAATGGGAGGACATCATATGACGTCCTCCCAAAACGAGAGAGCCCACCTTGCGCCCGTCATTGGACTATATCGCGGGCAGGAGGCGGTTAAGAAGGATTTGTAGTCTGAAAGCAACATTGTCAGGGGGTCAACAAAATAACAAAAGTCTTGAAGTAAATAGTGTAGTACAAAACAGTTTGGCAGTTCATGCTATAGTGGGGGTATGTGGAATAGCATGTATCACCCTGACTACAACACACACACACACACTCACACTCACACACACACCCCACACACACACTCTCGCACACACACACACTCTTTTCCCCCCAGCCACTATGGTTCCTCCTGCCCATGGTGACATGCTTATCAATACACTTGTAAGCGTGTAATCAGATCAGTGTTGGGTGCCTCATAAGTTAGGAAAAGGGTTACTGAAAACCCTCCTGCTCGACTGTGGTAACAACCCAGTGCTGTGGTTTCTATGCCTGCATAGGGTTACAGTGCTGTGGTGATTGCAATGCAGAGCATTTAGCTTTGTGACCTTGTAGATGGAAGGCCAGTAGATGGAAGGTAGTATCAGTTGGTAGAAAGAGTTACTTTTTGCACTACAAAGGCACTAGATAAAGAGACAATGTTCTTTCTATTGCATTTAGATATTTTGTCTTTTTTTTTTTTTGTTTTTGTTTTTTTATTCATCATCATTCATAGTTCTAACTTTTTTTTTTTTTTTTTACATTGCAGGTAGTTACAGAGCAGTCTCCTTCAGAAGTGGATAATTTCATTAAGCCGCCTCCACCATTTTTCCCTCCTGGTGCTCCTCCCACTCATCTCCCACCACCTCCATTATTCCCACCTCCCCCAAATGTCAGCACTGCCCCTCCACTAATCCCTCCACCAGGTAAGATCGACATGTATGCCTCTAATGCACATCAAAGTGTTTTAATCATGTTTTTTGGTTATCTTTCAAACCCCCAACTATCTTTATATTACATGTGGAATCTATCTAAAAACATCATGAAATTCCTAGTTGCCTGGCCAATCCTGTAAGGGAACTTTCAGGCTTCTTTGGTAATGCAAAGAGTAATTAAAGTACATTAGCCTATAAGAACCAAAGAGAAATAGTCTTTGTTAAACCTCAAAAAATGTAAAGTTGTTTGCTCTGGATACTGCACTACTAAGTAAACTGAATGTTCTATCTGGGTTTTATCATCTTGAAAGCATAATGCTCATAGAAGGGCTACTTTTTGGTCAGTAACTAGCAGGATTGATGGAATTTTAAGGTTAAACAATGATTAGTCTGCTCCTGATAGGAAACATGCCTTTTTGTAAGGATATTTTTGGGGTTTGCAGAGGCATGCAAAATACTTTTACCTCACCTGGATTAGGACTGGATTGCTCAAACCAGCCCTTCCAGAGCTACTGTGCTAGTCATTATTTAAAATGTAATTTTGGCTAAGCAATTTTCAGAAAAGTCTTGTACCCCCCATTACCCTTAATCTTTACTTGTACCCCATGCAGCTTAATCTTTCCACATTACTTTACAGTTGCTTTGCTAGTATATTTGATTATGAACAGATACTGTATAACAACTATAGTACAGGCGGCTCATATTACCTGGCACATCTTTGATTCCTATGTTCATTTGCTAACCTGTGCTGCAGATATCACTGGCTGCCATATTTGTGGTGAATGTCCATTTGAAATTTTGCTGTGTATAGCATCCCTTTGATTGTTCTGAAACATGATTGCATTCAGAAGAAACTCCTTTATGTTCCTACTTGTGTCAGCACCTCATGATCTACAGACCCCCATGTAAGAGTAAGAGCAGGTTTCTGACATTCTACTATTCATATAAATCAGTACAGTACTGCTGTACATCTGTAACAAACCATGCAGGCCTGAGGCTTTGGCTCCCTATGGGCCCTGTTTTATTTGTGCCGCAGCCATGGCTTTATCTTCAAAGCCGTTACAAAAATAGCACTGTGCCATACCTCCCCTGTTCAGTTGGGGTGGGGGGAGGAAGGCACAGTTGTACTGCATATTAGCTAGAAGACTTCGCCAAAAATCAAGAATTGCAAATATAAAACATCCTGTGGAAGTTCTTTGGAAAGCAGAAGCTGCTTTGAAGTCTGCATCATTGACTGTATTTTCTTCCTTCTGAAGCTCATTGCAAGAGAAATTCTCCTTGATTCGTCCCAGCAAGGTGACCTAGGGTTTCCATTTAACACCTTCCTTGCCATGCAGCTGTTTTTGGGTCACCCAAGCCTCTAACATCTGGGCTTTCTTAATATGAGTAGTATAAACATTGTATGCATTTTGCTGTGCTGGCAGGAACATGTCTAACTTTGTAATGTGTGGTTTTGTTGAGCATTGCTCTGATTAAAGCATTAATAGAAGCAAACCGTTCCCAAGCTGCATCGCCTCTCTAATTGTGTGATTGTTTTAAAAATGGATGCAGATGTGGCATCTGTACTAGAACTTAATGGTATTTTAATAACTTAGTCATCCTTTTGCCTATTATCAGAGCATCCACTGAGTATCCCAGGAACCAATTCCTGCCCCAGAGTCTGGAATGTGCTTTTATTCCAGGCTACTTGCAGCCGTCAATGTTATCTTGCCAGCAATTATGTAATGATGGGTACCAAGTGACTATGTAAATCATGCCATTATTTCCCCTTCTTCTAGGATCTGGATTGCAGCTATCTTTCTCCATGCAAAAACCATCTAGATATGGTATAGTGGATTTTGCTAATACTAATGAATTTATAGAGTTATCTTGATTTGACATGGGAATAGAAATGGCTGTCGATCATACAGATAAGGGTGATGCATAGTGATTGTGTTGTTGACTTGTGAGTGAGTGTGTGTGTTGTGTAAGCCAAATGAATCAAGATTCCAAGTATCATCAGTTTACCTGCTAAGTTATTTTTCTTTCCTAAATTATTTTTTCATACTTATGTGTTGACAGTACAGTGAAGGCTATTGTTTTTTGCTTGTGGTTTAAAATACGGAGTTATTAATTTCTATTTCTGAATTATATATATTTGGGTCTGAAAATGCATAATAAAGGCCATTTTTGCTCTGCCAGGTTGCTAGCATGTTTTTGTGCTTTCACTAAGGTATTGACTACTCATTGCTGAAATCTTGCTAGATACCAGCTGCTACTTTCTAAGGTTTCATTTACCATTACCCATGCATGGATAATAGTATTGTTTGAGACCTACATAAAATGTTTTGGTTGGGCAATAGTTTGGATGTCATTGAGTAGTCATGGTTTCCTTTTGAGTTATGTTTGGGACACTTTCGACATACAAGATCTACCTGGATAGAATTTTCTGTTGGTAAAAATTTGAAGATAGCATATATTTTTATATCTGACTTTTGCCAGCTTAAAGAACTCTCAACAAAAGATGAATATGCTTTTTAAACCCCCGACGGGACCCAGTGCATATCTTTCTTGGGCCATTTCCAATTTGTGCAGGCATTTTCAAATAAAAAAATATTATTTTTCCTGTCTATGAAGTATGTGGCTCTGCTCCATGCTGAAGCCCAAATCATGGGCATTCCTGTGGAGGAGCTACAACAATGAACCCTTGCTCTACAGTGTGCATACAGCTTGTACAATCCCAGCCCCTTCTTCCTCTGAAAGCTGCCAAATGAGAAGGCAAAATCTGCAGTTCTGCCATTTTAATAGTAAAGCCCAGTGCCTCGACTGTATAAAATATCTTCCAATTTTTATTCAAAAGCAGACTATAAGTATTGAACATTAATGTTAGTATACAAAACCATTAAAATGTTGCAGAAGTATGTTTTTCAGAAATTCATATACACAAGTGCTATATAGCAACATTAAAAGCAAGGCAGGGATGATCAGCAATGCCACAAATCTTGATGCGTTTCAAAAAGCACCGTTCGCTTCTTCAGGAGATATTTTATTTATGCTGATCATATATACACCAACTGAAAATCATCAAACTAGACAGGAACATCGGTTGGACATTTGGGTGCAGTGGGATGTCTCCATCAAAGAAGTTTAGTCCAGGAGTTGTGGAAGGGTCCAGAATCCACACATGCAGGGCTTACAGAGGAACCACAGAATGGGGTAGGGTTTCAGAAAAAGAATGGTAGGTGTCATAAGGAAAAAGTTCTCATAGCTATCTCCAAGCCCCTCCAGCAGCAGCCTGGAAAGAAGAGCACTCAAATGCTGATTACAAACCAAATTGCCTGTTGACAGCATGCTATTATATTTAAGGTTGTAAATGTTGGCAGCTTGTGCTGTGAATGACTACTCTGGAGAGCAGCCCGGTCGTTTACAAAAACACAAGCCCACAGCTACCCATACCAGCTACTGCACTAGGTTTAGGAAGCTGTTTCATCCTCTGTTGAGTCTTCTTTAGAACAGTGAGGCTGAAATGTATAATACTTGTGTATGACCATTGTGACTTTGATGGTCTAATATTTGCTTGCTGAGATGTTCCACGGTCAGCGACGGTTTCAAAAGTATAAATGTGACTGTGTTGTATTCAACACCAGGAATGTTGGTAACTCATGTTTCTCTTTGTTTGTGAACATCTAAAAAGACACATTTTAGTCTGTTGGTGTCCAGGGAGTGGGCTAGCTTATAGATGCTGTATTTGCTATTGCTTATGGTGAATATTTCCAAATTATTTCCAAAGTACTGGCACTAAACATAAATTGTATAAGGAAATGTATACCAACAAAAAGCACCTACAGCTTTACTTTTCAAAGAAAAAAAACATGTAAATGTACCAGAACTTGAGGCATAACATTTTATGTGAAGCTCTCGGTGACTTTTTCAGCCATATTAGAGAAAAGGAAGGTGCCCTTAACAAAAATAGTAAATAGGATGGTAGTGTGTGTAGTTCAATTTATTTTCCCAGAATCTTATTTAGTTTTGGTAAAAACCTGCTTTCTATAAATATTAACTTTTTATATGAGTGCAAGGATTGTTTTTATAGCTGTTTATGAACCTAGCTTGTACTTTAGGTTTGCTGATCCTTTTAAATCCCTCATTGCCTGCCTTGTTTTGATAACTTTTGGAGTTTGCATATTGAGCAACATCAGTTCAGTTTGATGAAAATATGTCAAACTGAACATTGAGCTGTAATGTGTCTTTGCCTTATTGCCAGACTTTTATCATTTAGAGGACCTACATAGGACAGGTAGAGTTTCTGAACAGTGTATGGCACATTTCCACTGTGTCTTGGAGACTTCAATTTATAAGTGACCATAGAGTTCTTCAATCATTTGTTTTAAGCTCATGGAAAAGTGACTCAAAAGTCTTGTAAACTCATGCTGCTTGGAAGATGTTAATATTTTGATTTTACACTATTCCTGATCTAACCTGATCTTTCATCTCACTTCATGATATGTTATTGCAATGTGCATGAGTAAACACTGGAAATTGGATATCGCTCTGAATTCTGCTTTTTTTATGAAAGCTAACAACGGTTTTATTTCATCAGTTAAAGCGCACCTATAATGATGATTTATAATAACATTTAAAATGGTAGTAGGAACCTGATATCAGTAAAACCTGGACAGGGTCTCTGATTTAGCTGGACATATTTTTTGGGGCATATTTATATAGCAGTGAAAGGTCTATGTGGTGAATCAGTCACTGTCATTTAAAACTCCTGCTCCATGAAGATTTACTTAAAGTGATGCTTTTGGTGAATGTTGGATTCATTGCTTTATAAAAATTCCCCATAAAATTCATTTAATCTTGCTGTTCAATATTTAAGAATTTAGCTGTACAAAATACATAAGCAACCCATGAAGATTTTAAATCCTTTTTGCAGTAAAGATTTTTTGGAGGCTTTCTGACGTGAAAATTGTATCAACTTTAGTACAAAAGCTGCTCTTGAGGGATCTGTAGATAAAATATGATCATTATTTGATTTGGATGACTTCTGTACATTCAACCAACAATCGCTATGGTATAGTGTAATAGAGCTACAAAAAGCATGCCATGAATTGCATTTATTACTTTTCTGTGTCTTTGATGGACGCATGAAATCTTAAAGTATTTCTAAAGGTTCAGTTTTTTGTTTGTTTTTTTTTTTTTATAAATAACAAACCTGTCATATTTCACCTGCTCTGTGCAATGGTTTTGCACAGAGCAACCCAGATCCTCCTCTTTTGGGGTCCCCTGCAAACACCCCTGGCTCCTCCCACCTGCTGAGTGCCCTTAGAGCAAGCTGCTTGCTCTGGGGCATTCTGTGTGTCCATAAAACACACAGCATGGCTTGGGTCCTGCCCCTGCTCACTGGTTGTGATAGACAGCAGCTGGAGCCAATGGCTTCTACTGCTGTGTCTCAACCAGTGAGGAGGGAGAGACTTGGGAGAGCCGCTGCTCATCGCTGGATCAAGATTGGACTTTGGTAAGTATTAGACCTGGTTCATACCACTGCGTTTCTTAGTGCTTTTTACAGAACTGCACTACATTCTATTTAACGTGGTTTCCTACGGGACACGTTCACATCGATGCCTTTTTGAGCAGCTGCGTTTTCAGAAAGAGTCAGGGACTTTTTAAATGCAGAAAGCATTTTTGTTACAATAGAGTTCAATGTACAGTAGATGCTGCTGAAATGCATGTAGTGCATTTTTGCGTTTTGCGTTTTTATTCTGCCCAGCAAAAATACATTTCCCCTTTAACAAAAAAAGCAATTGAATTGCGTGTGTAAAAATGCAAAGCAAAAAGCATCGCAAAAAAACAGATCAAAAGCAAACTGTATTGGTGTGAACCAGGCCTGGGGGGAACGGCACACTGAAGGTTATATACCTTCATACATGGAATTTATGAAGGTACAAGAAAACCTTCAGCCTTTACAACCACTTTAAACCTTTTCTGGTTATGCTGCTGTCTACAGGAGGGACTATACACTGGTTAAAAAAAAAAAAAAATTGTCGGCCAGCCTGGGATAACCCCTCATACTACTATACTAGCATGCTAGTGTCCTAGGAGGATCTTGTTAGCACTGCTGTTAAGACTACCTATTTTTTGCTAGCATTTTTCTTCAGTTACAAATTTCCTCTCTTTGCAGCTATCCAGTTCGGCTGGACTGAACATTGTGGGAATAGCCTGGAAGTGACCTTCAGACACAGGGTTCCATGTAAGACGCTTTCCAGACCCCCCCATTCTAGTAACAAGCCACAGAACTTTCAAGTTCCAGAGCTATTGGAATTGTCTCTGTGCTTATCCTCTCTGAGAACTAACCTTAAGAATAGGCCCAACAGCTAAGCATTGGAAGCTACCTTATTTGCACAGACCTTTTGGCACCTTTAAAGTTCATGCTTTTGGACAGTTCCTGTGGTAGAGGGGGGTTAATGCTGGGGGACTGAGTTGACCCCAGGACCAAGTGTCACACATGCGCCTCACTCCCAAAATTCAGAGAAAGCAATTCCCATTGCTGCTCTTATATTGCAAAGAGCCACATAGAACTCCATGGAACTGGGTGTGGCTGGCTCTTCTGCCCTTTCACAACAGGTTTTTACTGCAGTCTTGCATTACTTTCTGGCCCAAATTACACGGTTATTTACAGACTCATAATGCAGAGGCTACGAGTGTGAACCAGGACCTTCCCCGGCAGACTCTGATCTGCCCACAGCCTCTGAGCCATCTGTTGTTGACTCTCTGATTCTAAGTCACTCCAGTCTTTGCAGGATGAGCCTGCCTGCCGGTCTTCTGCCATTAATCCCAAATTAAGAGTGTTTCAGTTCCTACATTCATCACTCTAGGAACAGTGGTGTTAGAAGCACCAGGTTGATCTTTTAGTTTGTCTGGGGTCATTTAGAGACCCTAAGATTACCTAGACTTTTCTGGTTCCCTCGCTGTTCCAAGTCTATCTCTATGGAGATTGGAAACACCTTAACAAGAGGTTTGCTCTCCTTAAGCACTTATTATCTTTGTATCCATTTGAAGAGGACATTAAATTCCCCACTCTGGATCTGTCAGTGTTTTGCTTTAATGAATTGACCACCTTTCTGGTGGAGTCTGTCTTTAAAGACCCAACTGATATGTGGTTGGAATTCCACTATAGAGCAATGTTCACTGGCTCATTCTGCTCTTCACCCTGTTTTCCCTATTTGCTTTATCAAACTCTGGCTGACTAGTTAATTTCTATTAAAAGGGATCTGGTCACTACTGCAGTTGGTCTCTTGATCATAGAACATTTGAAACAAATTATTGTAACTTTAAGCTACACTTCTGATGGGCTATTGGAAGTTACCGATCTCATCTCCTGCATGGGTTTCTATCAGTACACATGTGTAGAATACTTTGGTTAAAGTGTTTGAACTGCAGAATACGCATCTAGGAAATTCTTTCTCTCCATGGTCTTCAAAGGACAAAGGCTCTTTGGTTCTCTTCTGTATACTATTATTAAGTTACACTGCTGGTGGCAAAAGCACCCATCTTCCTCAGCCAAAGAAGCCTAAGGCAGCCTGGGAATGATCATCCTTCACTGGAGGTTAACAAAAGTCAAATCCAGTCCATCCACAAAGGCCTGGATCTCAGTCTGTGAAACCCTCAGACTGTTTTCTTGGCATGAAGGTGTGCCCCACTTTCCGAAATGGGAGTTGGGAGTGGAGTCTATTAACCTTTGCAAACTCTTTGTTTTCCAGGGGCTACTATCTTGTTTCACAGGTTTTAACGCTAATTTGTGTAACCTGGTCACTGTTCCCAAACTCAAAGGAGAATTCTGTCCCACCTTGGATTTCAAAGCACTGAATGTCTTCAGTTAAGTTCATAAATTCTGCTTGGGATCTGTCTGTCATAGCCTCCCTTTACCAGGGAGACTTCCGGACTTTTGTGAATATAAATAACGCCTACCTTCATATTCCCATATTTTCAGTGCACCAGCATTTCCTTTGCGTCCCCTGCACTTTGTTTATGGCCCTTCCATTCTGCTTCTCTTCTGCACCTTGGGTGTTCACAAGGTGCTGGCTCAAGTACTACCCTGTGGGATTCTTGGCTTTCCTGCTGAGTGAACAGTCAGTACAAGATCTGATGGATAATGTGGCCTCGACTGTCCCAGACATTACAGCGGTTCAGATGGTTCCTGAACCTTCAAAATTTGATGCTGAAATCAACCCATCGCTTGTAGTACCTGGATCTAGTCCTAGACACAGCTGAGGCCAGAGTTTTTCTGCCCAGCTCTCAGACTCGTGCTATTCCTTCCAGGAGTCGTTTGACTCCCTGTGTTTGTGTGAAAGTTCTTGGCCTAATGGTAGTCTCTTTCTAGACACTCCCCATTTACCCATTTTCACTCCAGGACTGTACAATGTAATATTTTGTTGTGGGACAACTCTGTCCAGTCCCTGGACAGACTGGTTTGTTTGGTACTGAGGACCCGGTTATCCTTGGTCTAGTGACTTCTTAATATGGTCCTGGAATTGAGAAAATCATTCCTTCCCATCTTTTGGAAGAGCCTTCTAATGGTTGACAGATTTTTGGGCTGAGGAGGAGTCTTGGGGACATGGACATCAGAGGAATCTGATTAACATCCTAGTGTATCGAACAATTTAGCTTTCCTTGCAGCATTTGACCATCCTGCTTGGAGGGTCATCCTATCCTGGTTCAGTTGAATAATGCCACAGCAGTGGCATCCCATCAGGGAGGAGAAGCAGATTCTGTCTGGAATCTGTACACTATGTGCTATGCTATCCCTTCTCTGAAATGTCTTCCTCGTCTGCTTTGCAGGATCAAGATGGAAGGCGTTCCTGGTGATCCTCATTGGATCAGTCAGATGAGGCACTCCAGCTTCTGACGGACGCTCTGTGGGCTCTTCCAGATTGTCCAGGCCTTCTGTCTCAAGGACTGATTTACCATACACTTGAAAGTGACTTAAACTACATTACTGTTGAAACCCAGTTTCTGAGTGATGGGGACATCTCTAAATCTAAGATTTCAATGATGATAAAAACTAGGAAGTCTGCTTCTCGCAGGGTTTATCTTCATACATAAAAGGCATACATCACCTAGTGTGAGTCTCAGGGGCTTCCATCCTGGGAGATTCCCTGTGGGGACAGATCATCTTCCTGCTAAAGCTGGGTCTAGACCAGCATTTGGCCCTCTGCACCATTAAGGGTCAGCTGTTCTGCTATTGCTATCTTGTCATTCACCTCCGTATTCTCACAAGGTGGTCTTCCTCATAGCTATCACTTCTGCGTAGAATCTTTTCTGGTTTAGAACAGACAAGGTGTTGCTGAGGACCAGAGCTTCCTTCCCACCTATTGTAGTTTAGTCCTTTTACCTCCCTTTCACCCATTCAACATTCCCTCTCTCTTGCTTCAGCTATCAAAAGGAGATTCCCCTCCATTGCTTTAATGTGGTCCATGCTGCAAGAAGGCTTGTAAGAGTCTTTCCCTCCACTGTACCTTTCAGAATGACTGATTCCCTAGTAGAGTGATCCAGTTCTATCAAGGCATACTCTACTAGATCTGTGAACACTTATTTGGCTTTTTAGCATCAGACTACCATTCCCCACCCTCACATTTCACATTCATCAACTCAAGACTGGCTTCTTATCTCTTGCCAAAAGCTCAGGAAGGTAAGGAATATATCTGTGAGACAGCACATCCTCTCCCCCTATTGCAGCATGTTTGCCTTTCATCTCTTGTGCAGTAGTTTACCTTACAACAGACATAGTGTGTCCCATTACATCTAAGGGTGCAGGGTCCATTACATCTAAGGGTGCAGAGGTAAGTATGTACTTAATGCTACTATAATGTCAATGTGATGACTAAGTTTTTATAAAGGATTTGCCACTATTTATGTATAGGTGCACTTTAAATCTATGTACCGTTTGTTTGCTTGCATTATGAGGCAGAAACAGATAGAGTTCCACTTAGAATCCTGTGTAACAAAAAAAAAAATTTTTTTAGATTAGCTGGCTATTAATAAATATTGTCAATCACCTGATTTTCAGGGGAAATCATTTTTAAATTAAAACTTGAATCTAGCAAAATTGTTTTTATATAAGTTAAAAAAAACAGACGCTAAGATTTACCTTCTTTTTCTAGGAATACCGATCACAGTGCCGCCACCAGGCAAGTATTTCAAAGATTGTGTAGTGTGCTAACAGTTCGTTATATGTTCTTATTGACAGTATTTTTATTTGTGAAATAGATAGTATATCATTCAGATTGATGGTAACCATATGAAAAGGAAAGCAGAAGATAATCAGCCCAGTGTAGCAGCCATCCATGTACTTAAAGCACATTGTGTCTGGCTCCTTGAACGTTTATGATTCTGTTTTTCAGCCTGCATTATGTATGGTATCTTAAAGTGTCACTAAACCCAGGACCCTGCATTCACTATATCTGGTCTCCCACGTTACACAGAACATGGCAATGCAATTATTTTAGTAAATATAAATTGCTAAATACCTTTTCTCATCAGCAGTATATGGCAGTCCTATGACTTCTATCAGTGTCCAGCTGAGCACTGGTTAAAGCTTTTAGTTTTTCATTCTCCCCTGATTGTCCTATAAGGCTAAATGACCTCTGACCCTCTGGACAGTGCTGATTGGTCCTGTGGTGTCACATGCACTCTCCCAAGAAAAAAAATACTGTAGCATTATACCCCAAACTGAGCATGTGCAGCTTGTTCCCAAGGCTCTGTTTTATCAGAAGATGGATTGAGGACAGTAGAAGAAGGGGGGAGGATCAGAGAAGACAAACATCCCTTTTACACAATGCAGAGGATAACCTCTTAGGCTTTACAGTGAGTATAACAAGCATGCTTTACTGCATATGCAGACTGATTTTACTGTTGTGGGTTTAGTAACGCTTTACCTTCATGTAGGAATTCGAGAAGTTTCAGAGAATCTGTTGTTTCATATGTAGACTGACCATGCCATTTGTACCCAACAGCAGGAGCTCAGTAAATGAAATACTGCAATATTGAAGTGGGCTAAAAAAAACTTCTAGAGATGTTGGGTATATTTTTCATATACACTGCTCAAAAAAATTAAAGTAACACTTTTCAATCAGAGTATAGCATCAAGTCAAACTCCTGGGATATTGATCTGGTCAGTTTAGTAGCAGTTGGGTTGTTACTCAGTTTCAGCTGCTTTGGTGTTATTGAAATTTACAACAGGTGCACTAGATGGGCAACAATGAGATGTCCCCCAACACCGTAATGGTTTTACAGGTGGAGGCCACTGACATTTTTTTCCCTACTCTCATCTTTTCTGACTGTTTCTCACCAGTTTTTCAGTGTCACTACTGGTAGAATGAGGCGATACCTGGACCCTACAGAGGTTGCACAGGCAGTCCAACTCCTCCAGGAGAGCACATCAATACGTGCCATTGCCAGAAGGTTTGCTGTATCTCCCAGCACAGTCTCAAGAGCATGGAGGAGATTTCAAGAGACAGGCAATTACTCTACGAGAGTGGGACAGGGCCATAGAAGGTCCTTAAGCCATCAGCAGGACCGGTATCTGCTTCTTTGTGCAAGGAGGAACAGGATGAGCACTGCCAGAGCCCTACAAAATGATCCTCCAGCAGGCCACTGGTGTGAATGTCTCTGACCAAACAATCAGAAACAGACTTCATGAGGCTAGCCTGAGGCCCGTTGTCCTCTAGTGGGCCCTGTTCTCACTGCCCGGCACCTTAGAGCTCGATTGGCATTTGCTATTGAATGGCAGGTCTACCACTGGCACCCTGTGCTTTTCACAGATGACAGCAGGTTCACCCTGAGCATGAGACAGATGTGAAAGGGTCTGGAGAAGCCTTGGAGAACGTTATGCTGCCTGTAACATCGTTCAGCATGACCATTTTGGTGGTGGGTCAGTGATGGTCTGGGGATGCATATCCATGGAGGGACGCACAGACCTCTACAGGCTAGACAATGGCACCCTGACTGCCATTAGGTATCGGGATGAAGTCCTTGGACCCATTGTCAGACCCACTGGTGCAGTGGTTTCTGGGTTGGTCCTGGTGCATGACAATGCCCAACCTCATGTGGCGAGAGTATGCAGGAATTGATACCATTGCATGGCCTCCACACTCGGCTGACCTAAATCCAATAGAAAACCTCTGGGATATCATGTTTCAGTCCATCTGACGCCACCAGTTTGCACCTCAGACTGTCCAGGAGCTCAGTGATGCCCTGGCCCAGATCTGGGAGGAAATACGTTGTCTCATTAGGAGCATGCCCCGACGTTGTCAGACATGCATACAAGCACGTGCACGTGGGGGCCATACAAACGGAGTACCATTTTGAGTTGCTACAATGAAATTTCAGCAAAATGGACTAGCCTGCTGCATCATTTTTTCACTTTGATTTTTGGGATGTCTTTGAATTCAGTCTTCTGTAGGTTGATAAATTTAATTTCCATCATGTGATTTTTCCCCATTGAGATCTGATGTGTTTTCAAAGTGTTTCTTTCATTTTTTTTGAGCAGTGTATTTAAAAGACGGTACACACAGGCAGAAATTGTCAGTGATTTTGCACTCCGATTGTCTGATATTCCTGACAAGAATGCAATAGATTTTGGTCAGCAGTTAGCAGCCTTCTCCTATGTAGTATAGACATGTCAGTGATGATAAGCTCATCTTTCTAAACCTATAAGGGAGATGCTGTCTTGTTGGTGAATGTTTTGCTGGAAGTAACCTTTTCTAAGATAAATAGGTTCCATTGATCACTTCCATATGGAATCTGTTTTTGTCACATTGAGCCAGTAAATCATACTTTGTGATTCACAAAAACAATACTTCACCCAATGATTTTAGAACTGCATACTTGTTCTGGGTCAGTGGCTCATAGTAACCAAGCTATTGGATCAGCCTGGCAGTTGGGTAGCTTGCATTTTCAAAAGGAGAAGTGGTACCACATATGTGGTACCACTGCGATAGTCAGGAGCAGGAAAATTTATTTTGCCTTTTTTTTTTTTTTTTTATCTTTTTCTTTTCATAAAACAAAATCAGAAGATATCCATTAATATTAACCACTGAATGAAAGGGCAGTCTGTCTTAAAAAAAAAAAAAAAAAAAAAAAATTCACTTGTCTACACTAAGTTATTGCAATGATATGTACAGTTATATTAACACATATCAAAGTTGCAAAATTGGATCTGAACATGTGACACTAAACCTAAAAATATTTTTTACTTTAATGCATTCCTTGCATCAAGGTAAAACATATATTTTTATTTCTGTCCTCTCCCTTCCCTGTGTGAAGAGGAAGAGAGAGAATAGATCCAGCACAGCGCAGGTGAGTAGAACATGTTTGGCATTTTAATTTAAAAAAAGACAAAACAAAAAAAACAGACTTTAACACCTTAAAGTGGAACTGCACTGCATCTGAGCACCACAAACCAAAAATGATCTTTAATTCATTGTTAATGTTAAAAAAATTGAACACCCGCTAGCATTTCTGGCAGTAGCCATCTTGAGTAGGGACAGATGATTCAGATAGCATTTACTTCATGGAATCCATTTGTCCTTAACTCAGGCTTTGGCTGAGCTGAGAACCCTCCCTGCCCTCCTGAAGACTGCTGGGATGTATGTCATTATTTGCCTAGGCAGGAAACCAGGAAATAACTGAAGAAAGGTTTAAAAAAAAAAAGTTTAAAACAAGTAAATATGATGTACTTTCCAATCTATTTACTAATGCTAGCAGCATAAGGATTAAAAATAGTCCATGTTGATTGAGAGAGTCAAGTTCCACTTTAAGGTTTTTTTTGCCTTTGGTCATGAGGGGGTTAAAATTAACCTATATGGATCTTGTACATGTAAAAGAATAAGAAGTGCCTCTATACCTGGAGAGCATCCTCTCCAGGTGGTAGGTGGAATCCATCTTGCAAGTCCATTCCGACAGCGGGAGGAGTACCTAGTTTACACCAACATCTACAAATAGTGTGAGCAGAAACCAAACTATGGCAAAGTATACTGTTTTAAATTTGTTAAAGCGGAGTTACAGTCAGTTCTGTGTTTATTAAGTCAGCAGCTACAAAAACTGTAGCTGCTGACTTTTAATAAACACACACCTGTCCCAGGGTCCAGCAATGTACTCACCCGCGCAGTCCCTTCTCTGCCTCTTCTCTCCCCGACACCGGCATCACAACTGTGGGCACCGGGCTGTGACAGCCTGCGGCTTCACAGTCGGGTGCCCACTGCGCTTGCACAAGTCCCGCTGCGCATTCTCATTGGTCCAGCAGCCTTCTGGGACCTATGAAGGTTCCCAGGAGACTGCGGGAGGAAGGAGGGGTTGCATTTTTGGCTCACTTCGCCGCGGCGAATTGAACCGGATGTGGGAGCAAGTACCTGTCAAAACCAGGTATCTGCTCCCCCCTCAAAAGGTGCCAAATATGGCAGTAGAGGGGGGAGTAGGCAAATGAGCAGCGCTTCCGCTTTTGAGATGAACTCCGTTTTAAGAGCCAATTATGTAAAGAAAGGTAATTTGTGGTCTGTTTGGAATCCTGTCACCTATTAGCATATGATATATTGACATTTTATCCCAGAAGGGAATAATTAATGGACGTGTTCCCCAAATTTGGGTCATCGTTTCAGTGGTCACTTGGCATCTTGATCATGTGTTTGGTATAAAATGATCCATTGTAGAGCAGCGATACCACTGTGACAGGATCTGATAATTACTTCCTAATGTAGTGCAGAGTTGGACATTTTGTGGTTACATTTCAATATTTTATCCCATTCCAATTCCTTTGGTGGAGTGCTCAATTTTTCCTCCTATTTAGAAGAAACCTTAGGGCCTGCAAATAGTTATGAAATGTAGTACCATATGAATATGTATTTGTAAAGCTTTTACTTTAAAGCAATTCCTGCCATGCATATATTGAAGACTGGTGAAAGAAAGGAATCTGGGTGCAAACAAGAGACAATCATGTGCACAGGACACCTGCTCCTCTGGTTTAGTGTAGGGTACTTCACTGCATTAAAGACATTCATTACATATACAGTGGGGATCGAAAGTTTGGGCACCCCAGCTAAAAATTTGTATTAATGTGCATAAAGAAGCCAAGGAAAGATGGAAAAATCTCCAAAAGGTATCAAATTACAGATTAGACATTCTTATAATATGTCAACAAAAGTTAGATTTTATTTCCATCATTTACACTTTCTAAATAACAGAAAACAAAAAAATGTTGTCTGCAAAAGTTTGGGCACCCTGCAGAGTTAATATCTTGTAGTGCCCCCTTTGGCAAGTATCACAGCTTGTAAACGCTTTTTTGTAGCCAGCCAAGTCTTTCAATTCTTGTTTGGGGTATCTTTGCCCATTCTTCCTTACAAAAGTCTTCCAGTTCTTTGAGATTTCTGGGCTGTCTGTCACGCACTGCTCTTTTAAGGTCTATCCATAGATTTTCAATTATGTTGAGGTCAGGAGATTGTGAAGGCCATGGCAAAACCTTCAGTTTACGCCTCTTGATGTAATCCCCCGTGGATTTCAAGGTGTGTTTAGGATCATTATCCATTTGTAGAAGCCATCCTCTCTTTAACTTTAGCTTTTTCACAGATGGCATCAAGTTACCATCCAAAATTTGCTGAAATTTTATTGAATCCATTTTTCCTTCTACTCATGAGATGTTCCCTGTGCCACTGGCTGCAACACAACCCCAAAGCATGATTGATCCAACCCCATGCTTAACAGTTGGACAGAGGTTCTTTTCATTAAATTCTGTGCCCCTTCTTCTCCAAACGTACCTTTGCTTATTCCGGCTAAAGTTCAATTTTAACCTCATCGGTCCACAGAACTTGTTTCCAAAATGCATCAGGCTTGTCTATATGTTCATTTGCAAAGTTCAAACGATGATTTTTGTGGTGAGGACGTAGAAGAGGTTTTCTTCTGATGACTCTTCCATGAAGACCATATTTGTACAAGTATCTCTTTATAGTGGAATAGTGTACCACAACTCCAGTGTCTGCCAGATCTTTCTGGAGGGATCGTGCAGTCAAACGTGGGTTTTGAATTGTTTTTTCTCACAATCCTGTGAGCTGTTCTGTCTGATATTTTTCTTGGTCTTCCAGATCTTGCTTTAACTTCCACTGTTCCTGATGACTGACATTTCTTAATTACATTCCGAACAGAGGATATTGACATCTGAAAACGCTTTGCTATCTTCTTATAGCCTTTTCCAGCTTTGTGAGCGTCAACTATTTTCAGTTTCAGTTTTCTAGACAACTGCTTAGAAGAACCCATGGTGCTGATTGTTGGGGCAAGGTCAGATGAGTCTGGGCATTTAAAACCTTTGAGATTGACATAACCTGGTCTTCCCAGACGATGATTGAGAACAATCCATGACACTGGCAGGTCTCAGCTCTGCAAAGGGGGCAGTGCATGCTATAAATTTTGCAGGGTGCCCAAACTTTTGCAGACGCCATTTTTTTGTTTTCTGTTATTTTGAAAGTGTAAATGATGGAAATAAAATCTAACTTTTGTTGACATATTATAAGAATGTCTAATCTGTAATTTGATGCCTTTTGGAGATTTTTCCATCTTTCCTTGGCTTCTCTATGCACATTAATACAAATGTTTAGCTGGGGTGCCCAAACTTTCTATCCCCACTGTATATATATATGTATATGTGTATGTTTATTGAACTGTGATCCTGTTTTTGTCAATTCCAGGTTTTCCTCCTCCTCATGGCGGACCACCACCATCACTGATACCAACCATAGAGAGGTATATCATGCAGTTTTACAGAATTTGCAATATCTTGAATACTTAATCTATGTGCATGCTGTACCATACAGTGTCTTGAAAAAAGTACTCATACCCCTTGAAATTTTCCACATTTTGTCATGTTACAACCAAAAACCTAAATGTATTTTATTGGGATTTTATGTGATAGACCAACACAAAGTGGCACATAATTGTGAAGGGGAAGGAAAATAATTGGTTTTCAAAATTTTTTTACAAATAAATACCTGAAAAGTGTGGTGTGCATTTGTATTCAGCCCCCCTGAGTCAATACTTTGTAGAACCATTTTTCGCTGCAATTACAGCTGCAAGTCTTTTTGGGTATGTCTCTACCAGCTTTGCACATCTAGAGAGCTAATTTTTTTGCCCATTCTTCTTTGCAAACTAACTCTGTTAGATTGAATGGAGAGCATCTGTGAACAGCAATTTTCAAGTCTTGGCACAGATTCTCAATTGGATTTAGGTCTGGACTTTGACTGGGCCATTCTAACATATGAATATGCTTTGATCTAAACCATTCCATTGTAGCTCTGGCTGTATGTTCATTGTCCTGCTGGAAGGTAAACCTCTGCCCCAGTCTCAAGTCTTTTGCAGACTCTAACATATTTCTTTTAAGATTGCCCTGTATTTGGCTCCATCCATCTTCCCATCAACTCTGACCAGCTTCCCTGTCTATGCTGAAGAAAAGCATCCCCACAACATGATGCTGCCACCACCATGTTTCACGATGGGCATGGTGTGTTCAGGGTGATGTGCAGTGTTAGTTTTCCGCCACACATAGCGTTTTGCTTTTAGGCCAAAAAGTTCAATTTTGGTCTCATCTGACCAGAGCACCTTCTTCCACGTTTGCTATGTCCCCCACATGGCTTCTAGCAAACTGCAAACGGGACTTCTTATGGCTTTCGTTCAACAATGACTTAATTTTTGCCACTCTTCCATAAAGTCCATATTTGTGGAGTGCACGACTAATAGTTGTCCTGTGAACAGATTCTCCCACCTGAGCTGTGGATCTTTGCAGCTCCTCCAGAGTTACCATGGGTCTCTTGGCTGCTTCTTTAAATAATGCTCTCCTTGCCCGGCCTGTCAGTTTAGGTGGACAGCCATGTCTTGGTAGGTTTGCAGTTGTGCCATACCCTTTCCATTTTCGGATAATGGATTGAACAGTGCTTCGTGAGATGTTCAAAGCTTGGGATATATTTTTATAACCTAACTCTGCTTTAAACTTTTCCACAACTTTATCCCTGACCTGTCTTGTGTGTTCCTTGGCCTTCATGATGCTGTTTGTTCACTAATGTTCTCTAACAAACCTCTGAGGGCTTCACAGAACAGCTGTATTTATACTGAGAATAAATTACACACAGGTGGACTCTATTTACTAATTAGGTGACTTCTGAAGGCAATTGGCTCCACTAGATTTTAGTTAGGGGTAATCAGAGTAAAAGGGACTGAATACAAATGAATAAAAATATTTGAAAACGATTTATCATTTTCCTTCCACTTCACAATTATGTGCCACTTTGTGTTGGTCTATCAACATAAAATCTCAATAAAATACATTTACATTTTTGGTTGTAACATGAAAAAATGTGGAAAATTTCAAGGGTTATGAATACTTTTTCAAGGCACTGTATACTTATATGAAAAAAGCATCTTGTTCTCTTTGTATTGCTTTCTTTGTCTGAAATCCCAGGTGTTCTTGCCAGTCCTTTTTAAAAACTGAACACACTAGGCAGGAGAGCACAGTGCAGTCAGTTTTCTAGCTGTGCTGGGAACTCTGCCTGCTTTCCTCCAATGATCACACCCTCCTGAATCACCTTCCCCCAGACGTTTTACTGGGATAATAAGTGTACTGCTGTTTCTCCTCCCCCCACCTCTCTATGCAGCAGAGAACAGAAAATGTAATCAATTATAAAAAAGGGATAAAGGGTATTTAAAATGTTTTTTTTATATATCTATACACAAGTGTTTTACCTTTCATTCATATTTTAAACTGATTGGGTTGTTTTACAAGGTGAGGGTTTACAGTCACTTTCAATAAACACTGCCTTAGTCTAGGTTCACACCTAAGCGTTTTCTGCAGCGTTTTGTAGAAACGCACTACAGTCCATTTAACATGATTTCCTATGGCAGCCTTTCTCAACCAGGGTGCCTGGCAAAATGTATAAAAGTTGCACAAAACTTGTATACAAGCCAGCGGATGGAAGAAGCCTGACTTTTAGTTACACAAAGCCACAGACTTTCATTATATGCCATTACGACCTTCTAGCCACTGGTGTCCTTACAACCAATAACATCAGTTGATAAGATGTCAGTTGCCTGCACGGCAATTTTTGTTCAGTGATGGAGTAAAACTGAGAGAAACACTGTAATACTAGTCAGGACCAGTGTATTTGATTTGGAAGAATAAATCACCTCTAGCAATGGGTGTCCATGTGTAGATGTTGCTGCATTATATAAAACTGTTAAAATATTTTTTTTGCATTTTAGAATGGGATGCCTCGGGACTGTCCATAATTTTATAGGGTGCCTCGGGACTGTACAAAATTTTAGAGGGTGCCTTGAAATTGTCCATAATTTTTCTTGACTGAAAAAAGGTTGAGAAACACTGTCCTATGGGATAAGTTCACATCTCCACGTTTTCACCCAGTGCATTTTTTGGAAAGGGTCAGGGACTTTTTTAAACGCAAAACGTTGCATTTTTGGTTCCATAGACTTTAATGGAGATGCTGCAGAAAAGCATGTAGTGAGTTTTTGATGCATTTTAATCTGACACGTTTTGCGTTTTTTTTTTTTTTTTTTTTTTTTGTTACTAGGCAAACGCATGTGTAAAAACGCACCGCAAAAAGCACTGCAGAAACAGATCAAACGCAAACTGCATAGGTGGACAATTTAAATAGGCATAAAAATAGAGGATGTCAATGCGTTTGAAGGTTTACTAAATCACCCGTACCATTGTGTGTATATGAGAGAGGCACTGTCTCCAGCACGATTTTCATATGGTGACTACTCGCTGACAGTAGTGTGTGATAGCTAAATGATGGTGTACTGTTGTGTGTTTTGGGGGAGGACGTTCTCTCCAGAAACATATGGTGATCCCTGCTTGTCCATACTGTTTACTGCAGTAGATATTTTTAAAGTGGTTGTAAACCCTTACATATACCAAGTGAAGTGACTAGCCTCCGGTGATACACAGAGATTAAACAAATCCTCCTATGGAAGGTGTACCCGTTTATCTGTAGTCTTTTCTATATCTGTTCAAAGTGCTGAATTTATAAGCTTGTCTGAGCGTTCAGAAAAAAGGGATAGGAGAGCTGAAATTACACTCTGCAGAGCTCAGTGGACAGCTGTGAGAGTTGATTGGAGGGAAGAGACACACCCCTCTCCAAACAGCTCACAGGAACTCTCCCTCTCCACACAGCTGTCAGTCTGCTGGAGGTCCCTTCCCTGGCACCATTTTACTCTTGGTGTCAGAAAAAGTTGTCGGAAGAGATTCATGCGGATAGCAAAGGAACAAAGCAACAGACATAAATGACACTTAGTGCTTTTTAATTGAGACAAGTACACACTATACAGGGATGTGCTTTGTTCATATTTTAAGTATGAGATTTACAACCACTTTAAAGCACAGTCCATGTAATCACTTATTCAAGAATATTTAAACTACACAAAATATAGCTCACAGAGGCATTCTTGAATAGCAGAGGTGAGGAATATTTCTTTAGCAATGCTTCAGATTCTTGCTTTCATTGTTTAACTTGGCCTGCAAAAGTGACAGCTGGAATATGTGTTACACGTTTAATTCATATAAGCAATCCTGTACATGTAAGTAGTAGCTTTACATTAATGAAGTGAAACTTACAAAGGTATTTTAAAGAATGGAGTTAGAGTACAGTGGATGTGTTCCCTATCATAACATAACAGATACTTGCCTACATTTCCGTAATCAAAATAGAAAAATGTGACATTTGGATTGAATCTGCTGTCAATGGAAAGAGAAGCCTGGTGACGGTTAATGTTTTCCTGCCAATGTAGAAACCAAACAGATGTTAACAGGTATTGGTAGAAGAAATTGGAATAGGCACCAATATTCTGATTTAAATCAGCTGCTGAAAGCTCACAGTAAAGCAAGTGCAGCTTACACTCTCCATGTTCTCTGGAACAGAATACAAACTCCCATGATAGAAGAGTCATCGTGAGAGCAAAAAGTGATGCCAGAAAACATTGAAAAGTAGATATTCTGCAATTTTCACCGCATTTTAATACTGACATAAGTGCCAGTCTTCAGAGTGTTTGCTGACAGTATTTGAGCTTTTCCTGTATCCTCTTTTCAGCTTTGTTACATACATGAGACACCTGGTTTCTAGATTTTCTGGGTTCATTCAGTTTCTCTCAGCAGAATTTGTGCTATGAAGTGTACAATAGAGAAGTTTTTCCCATAATGGAGTATAGAGAATAGTAGCCTGTAGTAATCGGTAGAATATCTTTGCCTGAACTGCATTTGTTTCCATCTTGTTCATTGTGTTACACTTGCCTATAACCTTTTATTGTTTTGCTTTGTAGTATAATTTAAGCTTGGGTCCAGGCATGTTAAAAATGTTATTTCTTAATTGTACATCACAAGACACAGAAGAATTAATATTCATGACTACATGTTTATGTTGCCACCTTCAGGTGAGTGGACACTGGCCAAAAAAGTCAGGAATCCCCACCCAGGCATAACCTCCCCCCTCTCTATTTTTGTTCAGCTCAGTTTTGTGCTGAAGTTTAAAGTTGTGATGAACATAGAGTACATCCCTGAGTTTCTCTGCTGATCCTTTTGTAGGGCTGTGTTCCCATTACTCTTGGCCTGTTCCTTACACTCCTCTTGGGTCAGAGGTGGGCCTTATCGGCCAATACCCAAACCCCAAATGAATAAGCAAGGACAGCCTGTACTATCTGCTGGCCAGTACTAGATGCAGCAGGCAGTGATCTCTGATGTACAGTGTACCTGGGGACCCCACTGGCATTGTACTCTACAGTTTCAAGGCAGTTATATACCCTTGGATGGAAGTCAAGTCCCTAAAGGACCCACACACCTCCCTTGGTGGGTGAAGACTGCAGCAGGAATAACAAGTACCTCTGTGTATAGTGGAGCAGATAGCAGTTCCCTCAGAGTGTTTTTGTTTTTTTTTTTTTTTTTTTGTGGTACATTGGAACATCTGAACAGTTTTTGCTGTATGGGACTGCAGCAGCTTTGGCGGAGCTTATGGGGGCAGTCCAGTATGCCATGCAGACACCAGTTTAAGTCAGCCCACAACATATGTTAAAGCTGCCTGAGCTTACTGTCTGTGGGGGATCAGATGGCATTGCTCTGAGAGACAGCCAGATACAGCGTTTCTGCATTCATCTCTGACAGCTCTCTCTGACAGCTCTCAGTACTGGGACACTTGTTAGGCTACTGGACGTGACTGAGCTGACACGGTTAGCTGTGTGGCTGCTTCCTTCCGGGGGTTTATAGGTTGATGTAACCCTCAGCCAGCCATGACCTTGTGCAGGCAGAGGTGGGGATATGGACGATGGGGTCAGCTGTCACATCCCTCAATTTGGTACGGAGGACCCCCTGCATAGTTTGCCCTGCAATGGCTTCCCAAAGGGTCAGCTTAGTTCTGAACCAGTGGAATTACCAGATAAGGGCAGGATTTCAGGAGCACAATCCTCCACTTCCTTTGTTTCATTGCAGCCATGTGTGGATTTCGTGATCAGCTCTTGGGGGATCTCAGTGGTGAGTCATCAAAAAAAATCCATGAAGAGGTAGAAGACTGTTGAGTAATCGTTTATGGATGAGTCCTCTCGGGAGGAATCTTGGGGTCCAGGGGGTTGCCTCAAACACAGAAGACCATGGTTGACCTCCAAGGGGATGTGATACACACTAACCTTAAGTTACCACTACTTGAATCCTCATTACACTCCCCGATTTGCCATGGAGGAGGCATTCTGCAAAAAAAAAAAAAAAATGGGGTTCTCTGCTGACCCAGTTATTGTCTACTTAAATAACACTCTGACCATCCTGGTGCATGAGATCTCTCTCTTTAAAGATGCCACAGGTATGAGGTTGCAGTCCCCACTTTAGTGCGTTGTCCTCTCTGCTAGGAGTGGCTCTGCTGTGATGTTTCTCTGAGGATGCCTTGGAAGACCGTTTTCATGGGTAAAGGGCTATGTCAGTCCACATGAGAAGGATCCTTTGGCTCAAGTGTTGGTCAGAAGAACGTCTCTGCAAAGCAAATAGGCTGCCCTTTTGAAGGTGAAAACTTATTTTGCCATCCTTGGAGACGCCTTCATCCAGAAGATTGGGTAAAAAAGATGTTCTTACCACTAAGGAAGGTAACATTTAAAAAATTGGTGATGCCACCTTAATCCAAGAAGAGTTTCTTTCATAAGTAACCAGTCTTGGGCTCTAAGCAGAATCCCATGCCCCAGTTCCATAAAAGAATTGGACCTCAGGTCCACAAGCTCTGATGAGGAGGAGTCTTACGGCTTCTGTTCCAACCTGTTCATTTCCTAAGCCAGACAGAGATGTCTGGCCTATTCAGGACCTTGAAAGTTTCTACAAGTTCCTAAAAGTACAGAAATTCTGGATGGAGTCTACTTGGTCAGTGATTGGTTTGCTTCATAATGGGTACTTCCTGGTTCTGGCAGATATCAAGGATGCTTACCTTCACATCACAATTTTCCAGAATTGCCAACAATTTTTCATCGCCACTATCAGCTTATGGCATTGGCTTTCACCTGTTTTATGGCCCCAAGAGTGTTTACTAAGGTCTGGTATTGTTTGAGGACCTGTGGTTTTCCCATTGTGGGGTGACATTGAATCATGTTTCCAGGTATGTTTTTCTGCAGAAGAGGATCTCAAATATTGCTGTGTGAACTCATCTCCTTGTAAGAGTCCACACAGCTTATGCCACAAGGCAGTGATGCAAGGGCTGCTTCATAGCTATATATTCCAGTGTTTGTCAAGATGGATCCATATTATGGGCAGGAAAGCAAGTAAGGGTAGTAGTGTAGAAGGTTGCCTGCCCAATTATACATTCCTAGCTTTTCAATTAGAGCTGAGGGATGTCACTGGGCAGGTACACATTTGCACCTCCTCCCATAATATCCATGATCCAATGCATGTCACAAGGCTGCTACAAAAACTGCTTGTAATTCTGAGGCTCAAGCATGCATCTGAGTGTGTGGGTTGTTAGCTCTGTCAGGGAAGGTGAGGTGGTAGACACACATTATGAATGGTCTATTGGTTGCCTAAATCTAGGAAGGTACATTTCTGAAGGTTTTGAATAAAGCTCTTGGCTTTGCTTTTGTTAAAACATACACAACACTCTATTGTGTGCTTTTTGTCATGCTCACTGCAGGATTTTAACACAAAGTTGTATACCAGACATAAGACATAGATGTATTGATTATTCTTTCTTCTAGTGGTCATTCGTCTGGGTATGATGGACGGTCAACGCCTGCTTTCCCTTATGGTAGTGGTAAGCAAACATTTGTTTTTATAACTTAATGATAATGATGAACTCGCCACGTGATCATAGTGACTGTTTTATTGATATGATCTGTCTCTTGTTGGTTTTAACTGGTAGTTCTTGGTATAGTGGATCATGTTGCTCACTTTTCTCCTTTCCATGTGACAGTGCTGGTACATGGCAGTTGACTGCTCAGCCACCAGCTCTAACACATGGAGACATGGTTCGACTGCGTTCTACTTGGCACTTTCACAGGCCTTCTTTTCCTCACTTTTGATGGTGAATGGAACTGTGGGAGAAGTAAATGTAAGATAAGTGTACGATGCTTCTGGGGCTGCCTTTTGAAATAAACCAATTGCTTTGCCCTGAATGAGCAAAATGTGTTTTACGTGCAAACCACTCGAATTGCGTTTAGCATGCATTGACACACAGTAAATGCTTTTGAGTTGACATACTGGTATAACTAACTAAATGAAGCTCTAATTTATACCTTTTTAATGTTCAATTTTTTTTAATGTCTCTATCTGATAAAATGATATTTTTAACAAAGTAATTGTTGGTGTTCATTCCTGAGGTTACCAGCACCTTAAAAGTCCCATCTCTCTACATATACATATTCTTAGGTATATCCAGGGATGTGGTGTTTCTAATACCCATTCATGCCATTGTTTTGTTTATTAGATACCCAACATGCCAAACTCTCAAATTATGTGCCACCACGAAACTTTGACAAACTCTAAATTTTTCATAGGATACACTTCGAAAGCCCCTACAGGTTATCAGTTTGGAGTTAGTGTTTAAGTAACAAAAAAAAATAAACATTTACAAACCGGTTTATGCCTTTTTTTTTTATACCCTCTTTTCGGGTCCTTTACCGGTGCTCCTGGCTCCTCCCCTCCGAGTGCCCCCAAAGAAAGCCCTTTTCTTTGGGGGCACTCGTGCAGGCTCTCTCCTGAGCCTCGCTATCTGCATCTAGGAAGTGATGGGAGAAAAGAGCTGCAGAAATGCACATCACTGGATCAAATGAGGGCTCCGGTAAGTAAAAAGGGGGGTGGAGGTCAGGGGGACTACTAATGCCTAAATATTTTTTACTGTTATGCAAGGAATGCATTAAGGTAAAAATGTTTAGGCTTTATAACCACTGTAACTATAAATAAAGGGCCTAGAGTTATTCTCACTCCAGCATTCTCAGTGATATGCAACATGTAGTACAATTGATTTTTTGAGGATTACAAAAAAAAAAAAAAAAAAAAATCATATATTGTACACTGTCTCCCCCCACATACCGACACAAACATGGCCAATTTCCTCTCACATATTCCAGCTCTTTGTGTGTGTATGTGGGGGCAGACATAGTATCTGATATGCGATTTTTCTTTCTTTTTGATAGGTTCTCTTTAATGAGTCATCAGGGGTCACTTGCCCTCTAGTGAAGCTAATGAAGTGCAGATTGCATTTGGGTTCATAGTAGAAAGGGGAGATAAGCAAACAGATGCTCATGGGGGTGTGTGGAAGTAATCCTTCCATCTGACAGTTGGCCTGTCGTATTTACACACATTTCCAGCACCCAGAACTGTGTGTAATAAGGCAACATCAGATTTCTCAAAACTTCTTCAGGAGCTCTATCCTCAGGAACCTTCTTGTCCACAGAGGAATTCTCCATTACCTTTTTCACTGTTGGAACAGCTGGTCGATATCAGTAGGAATTTACAGAGAGATGACCGTGAATGTCCCAGAGTTACTACCTTGTGACTCTTCTTTACCAACCTTTTTTGGCTGTTAGAGGGACGGTCTGAGGAAACAGACTAACTCCTATGAGACAGACATATCTTCTGAGGACACAGAAGACTCTCATATGCCTCCATCTCAATAGTCCATAGTGAGCATTCTCAGAAAGATGTCCATTGGAACTTAAAATGGTCACTATTAAAACTTCCTGGGCCCAAGGTATCAGGTTTGAGGTCTTGGGAAGTCCTTTCTGTTGCATCCTGGTTTTGAAGAGGATCTGTACAGGGACTGGGCACATTTAGATAAGGTATTTCATACCAGATAGAAGGCACTTGCATCAAAAAAGTGGGCAAGCCCTGTTTTGGAGCCTGCAGTGCCCTACTTAATGTGGTCGTAAATTTAACATGAAATACGAACAAAACATAGCCTCCATAGTGTGCAATCCAGAGCACTAAGTAGCTAAGTGTCTGCTGTCTTATTCTCTATCTGCATGAGTCACCTTTTGACAAGTTTCCCCAAGACCAGGAGGTAAAAAGGTGACAGAGGTGGCTCTTATAGCACTTCCCATGGTTTGCATAGCACTTTTTAACCTTGTCCCTAGATCAGCATATCCCCTATTTGGGCTTTTTTCCAAATTGGGAACTTCCTTAATGCCCCCCTGGGCTTTTCTCTTTACATTGGAACTACGACAGCTTTTGAAATTGCTTGCTCAAGCACACTTGATCTTCTCCATTTATCTGTTTTTATTCCGCCTCACGTTATCTTCCTGGTCAAACCTGCACACGAATTGGTAAAGATATTTAGGGTCTACTCTTTCGGACGAGGACTGGGAACAAATATGTGACTATGCACAAAGGAGCCCTGAATATCAACATTCAGGAAAATGATATAAGCTGCAAACTCAGTAGTACCGTACCCAAACTGTAGTTCATAAACTGTGCCGGGAAGTTGCCCATCAATGTTGGTGGTGACTATTGGGGCCTTGGTCGCTGCTGCACATATGGTGGCAGTGCCCGACCCCGACAGAGTTCTGGAAAGAGGTTCATCACATAACAGTCGCAGTCATGGAATGTCTAAATGCCTAAATTATACATTTTTGGCCATGCACATGGTAAATGCAACCAGAATGTACATTCCCATCCACTGATGTATGACGCATACACTGACCATAGTGGACTGGTTTTGGCATATCAACAAAATTATGAACCTGGAGGAACGGATTGACATCTCCCAAGATAGGATTTCTCATTTTTATAATCTATGGGCAAGTTGGCTTCATTTTCCAATCACGTTTGGCCTGCTCCGACGCAATGGGCTAGATTAAATTACTTCAATGCAGGCCCTTTTGTGGGTCACTTGCTCTCAGTACACTTCCCTCCCTCTTACCCCCTAACAATTCCCCCCCCCCCCCCACCCCATTGTACCTTTTTTCTTCTCCCTCTCACCGACCCCCCACCCCCCTTATACATCAGTGCACATGAGGTAATTGCTGTGGCTTAAATGCTGCTTAGCTGAGCTCTCCTGCAAGAAACCATTGGAATGTATGTCTGTCTTTTAAAGGGGAATGCCTCTTTGGTGAAGTCCCAAATCAGAACAAAACTCCAAATCATTAGTGGTCTTTCTCTAGATCCCAGAAAGGTTCCTTCAGAACTGGGGGACACAACAGAAACTTTCCTTTTGAAAAAAGTCCTGAAGCCTCAAGCCTTCCAAGATAAGCAACAGACCTCCTTCCCACTAAAGAGACTTTTGGCAGTTGTGTCCAGAGGCTACAGACTGCAGTTTTGCATCTTGCCTCCTCCACAGTTCATGCTGCCAAACATGCCTACTTGCCTACTGCACCAACAAAAAAAATAGCCTTTTTTGCTGCACTGGATCAGTTGCGTTCTCGGGGTGATTGCAGATTCTAGTATCAGGTTTCGATACTAATTCCAACCTATTCACAGTGCCCAAGCTAAATGGTGAGGTGTGGCCAGTTTTGGACATGAAACGCTTGAACAGGTTCAGAAATTCTGTGTGAAATTTGTGATGTCAGTGATAGTTACCCTTCATTTAGGGGATTTCCTTGCCTCAGTAGACATCAAGGATGCTTGCTTACATATCCCTAACTTTTCTGATTCACTCGCATTACGTTTGCTTTGCAGTGGGGGTACAATATTTTTTGTGTGTGTGACTCTGTCCTTTGGGCTAGGAACAGCAGCACAAGTGTTCACATGGTGGTGGCCAAGGTTTTGGCTCTTATCTGAGCCAGGGGGATATCCCATTCTGGAATATCTAGATGATCTACTCATTCGGGAGCAATTGTGAGAAGGCCTCTGGGCAAATGTGCAGCAGCGAGTTTGAATCCTGCAGGACTTCAACTGGGTCCTTAATCTTAAGAAGTTAACCAAGAAGTTTTCACACGATTGGCACAGGTTTTTTTTCTTCACCAGGAAAAGCTTCAGATCTTTTGGTCCAAGGTGTGGGAACCACGCCAGCAGCTGTATCCCACCAAGCAGTCCCTCCACACAGAGGGGTTTACCAACTCTCTCTCCAGTGGTGATCCCCAGGTGTAGATCTAATGACCTTTAAACTCAACCACAGACTACAGGTTTGTGTCGACCTCAGGCCTTCGGGGTGGGTGCCTCAGGGCATTCTAGAGATTCTTATAGAGGGCGTGGTTTTCGGACATGGACTCATATCTGGCAGGACTCTTAGTGGGCCCTACTGGACCACCCGGACTTTATCAGGTTCCATTCTGTTGCAAAAAGCTGGCTTTGGCGGCTTGGCTGTTGAAGCCCAAGCCCTGAGCACTTGTTCCCACTTTGCTGAAGGCCAGAAAGCCCTTTTACCACTGTATGTTGAAAGCATACTTTGTTTAATGCGAAAAGGAAATGTTTAATCCCAGAAAATACCCCATGACATGTTGTTTTTGTTTTTTCATTTTTGCTTCCTTCAGTTGGGACTGGACAAGTCCTTTAGCCCTGAGGATTATAAAAGGTCAGGTTTCCACCTTGGTAGTGCTCTTTCAGAGACCATGTGCTTCACACTCCTTGGTCAGAGCCTTTGTGCAAGGGGTGGGTCACATTGCTGCACCATTTATGCTCCCCTCTTACTCTGTGGAACCTCAATATGGTGGTGTTGATCCCTCAGAGGCTACCGTTTGAACGCATTTGGGAGATTTTCTCTCTCTCATGCAAGGTTGCCTTTCATGTGACTACCACCTTGGTTAGGAAGGTGTCTGAGCTTGCAGCTTTAACTTGTAAAGAATCTTTTCATGTGCTTTACAAGGTCAAGGTTATTTT